ATGGGGGGGGGGGGGGGGGGGGTTATAACCCCCACAGAAATTTGACCCCCCCAATAAAATTATATCATTTGTTCTATAGCTGAAATTCTGTAAGGACATTTTGAAAACTACTTACATTTTACTGCGTGCACAAATGCGAACAGAAGCAATAATTACTAAATACCAGGACAGTTTTCTGCAGGAGGTCACACTCATCAAGAGACCTTTAGTGTTTTTACTTTCAGCATTAGACCCCTTAGGGATGTCCAGTCCTGGTCTTCAAGGGCCACCATCCTGCATGCTTTAGGAGTTTCTCTGCTGCAACTGATTTAAATGATTAACTTGAAGAGGGCAAAACAAATAAAACATGCAGGAGGGCAACAGGATTGGACATACTACTGTAAATGCTCATATTTACAGATCTGTTCCCTGATTTTTATTTGTTTTTTTTAAGTTTACTGTGCTTTGTAATAAACACCCCAAATGGAAAACTTTGTCTAATGTTTTAGCTTTTATATAAGCTAAAATATTACCTTGAATACAATGAAAGTTGAGACATGCGTGCAACAAATTTAGGTTTAACCAGTAATCGTGGAAAATAAAGAAAAAATTAAAAAGAGGTTTAGTTTAATGGTTGCAAATTATCAAAGAGATTTTGATGTGAAATGACTTCAACTTGTACAGATGCTTTACAGGTGGAGCTTTCTCTGTTTAACAATACAAGCCTGCTCTGGGTTTCTCTCTCTCTCTCTCTCTCTGAACCAAGACTGGCAGGCACAAACACAGAAACACACTGCAGGCCGCCTCCACATGTAAACCAGCCGTCCTCACTGACCCAATGTCTTTATTTCCTCCTCCTCTTCCTCGCTTCCCCACTCTCTTTTTATCATATGGACGTTTATCTCGGTAAAATGGCTTTCAGCAAACCCTCTGCTTGTCCTGCCATTGTCGTTCATTTCCATTTTCTTCTCAAATCACGTGTTAAGTTCTGACACCAAGAGGCTAGTTTTGATTGCGATCCTTCGATCTAAAAGGATGAGAGGCAAAAAAAAAAAATACGAAAGAGAGAATCAATGTCTCCTACAAGTCTATCGCTRTCTCTATATATAGACAATGGTTTTCTTTTTTCCCCATTTCTCTCATCCTTCATCATACTCTGGAAATAAACTTCTCCCTACACCAGCGTGCTCTTCTGTGTGCCTCCCTGATTTTTTTCCTCTGCTTGTATCGCCGTGGGAGTTCTGTATCACAAAGGGCACAGATCGAAGGATTTGACTCTGTAGCGTATCAATGACTGCTCGACAAGATATAAAATCTTTGCTGGATTCCTTTAACCACCCAACTCTCTGGCAAATTTTACCGAGCAACGTTTGGCACGATAAAGCCATGCACAACAACACTGTGCAACAATACACACCCACGGGTTTGCACACTTCCCTTCTCTCACACACACCCACACAAACATTTAACCAATGCTTATTATAATGTCCGCTCGTAGATGAGCTCACTGTGGTTTTACAACACAAATGTGTGAGGATATATACCTTTAATGCTCAGAGGTGTGGGATAAACTGAGCAGATGCTCTCATCATGGACTAGATGCTGAGGGATGTTGTACTCTTTCTTTCAGAGCCTCACGGTCCATCGTTCACCATCGGGAAGGCCATCTGGCTGTTGTGGGGTTTGGTGTTCAACAACTCTGTGCCCGTACAAAACCCAAAAGGCACCACCAGTAAAATCATGGTTTCAGTATGGGCTTTTTTTGCTGTCATTTTCCTGGCCTCCTACACTGCCAACCTGGCTGCTTTCATGATCCAGGAGGAGTATGTGGACCAGGTTACTGGTCTCTCTGACAAAAAGGTAAGGTTGAAGCTTTTCACCTTTTTGTGCAATAAAAAGTAGCCTAATCTTTTTATGTTATTTTTTAACATTTCTCTTCCCTTCTTTGCTTTTTTTCTGTGATTAGTTCCAAAGCCCCAACGATTTTTCACCTCCATTTCGGTTTGGCACGGTCCCCAACGGGAGCACAGAGAGGAATATTAGGAACAACTACCCAGAAATGCACTCCTACATGACAAAGTTCCATCAGAGGAACGTCAACGAAGCACTGCAGAGTCTGAAGGCCGGGTAAGGACCTTCACAAAGAAAATGCTCAATTTAGTGTCAAAAAGAAAAAAATAAGTAGGTCCTCTGGATGGGTTCTTCTTTAATGAAACATTTCGTCTCTCCTCCAAGAGACTTCTTCAGTCTGATGAGTTTCAGGTGAAATCTTTGTGAAGAAAAACCATCCACCATTAAATAGAGGTGGAGGCCTTYGYGTCCAGTTGTCCTCCTCCTACAATGCGATGGCAAGTATGACTCAGCCCCATGTGAGCAAAAGGTGTGAATCAGGGCCCCAATGATACCAACACAAAGAGGGAAAGAGGGACAAAAACAAGGGGACTTTGAACCCTCGCCTGCATTCACTACATACACATAACACGACACGGGTCAGATGATGGGGCACATGACCCTCTATGAACAATAGAACTAATCAAGCTTATTGTTAGGCGATGGCCATCTTTTGCATGTGACTAACCTGTTTGTCCATGTGGAGGCAGTGCTTATGAGGCTGAAGGCTGGTTTATACTTCTTGTGGCACGTCTTTTGCCACCCGCTGAGTGAAAAACATTTGCGCAACTTCCGTCTGCACTCCCGCTGCGATCCCCCGGTGACAGCTGTCCTATACATTGCCCCCCAGTCAGCACTCCGAGACACGGAGGATGCGGCGCGGAGTGTGTGACTGGTTCAAAGTTTGTGGGCGTTTTTTGTGCTGTGTCGCTACCAGAAGCYGGTTTTTGTTTCTAAACATGGATATTTTCGAAGAGAAACTCACCAAGGGGTCCGGAGGTACAACCATCTGTGACTCCTGTACTGCGTCGCTGCGTGCTGAAGGTGAGGGGAGATCCAGTGGGGGAAAAAAAAAAAAAAAGATCCGGTGGGCAAGTTCTTTGAAACGAGCAGCAGACATTTGAAAATAGAAGTGTTTTTCGTCATCCATCTCCCGCATCTCCTGCACAAGCTAAACTCACAACTAGCAAGTTTTTTTATTTAGCAACTAGCAGTTATTTAGATGCTAAGCTAGCATTTGACGTCTGCGGTGGGAGGGCAGAGGGAGGGATTACTATAATGTATCCCCCACGTCTTTCCCAGTATAAACACTGAATGCTGTCGGTGACACACACACAATTACGTCATAGCTGGGACGCAGCCGCACATCTTGCATGAAGTATAAACAAACCTTGAGTTCACTTGAAACTCATCAGCCTGAAGAAGTGTCTTGGAGGAGAGATGAAACGTTTCACTAAAGAACCCATCCAGAGGACCTACTTATTTTTTCTTTTTGATTTTTTTCTACCTGGATTACTGAGATGCATCAGGTCAATTTAGTGTCATTTTTCAAAGCACTTTAACATAAAGCAAAATCCTTTTTCATCACCTGAGCGCATTACCAACTTCAACTTTAAGAAATGACAGACATCCTGAAACCAGGTAGACAATGTGAAGCCAGGGAGCACCTTTGACTTGGTGTGCGCAGATTCCCACGCTTAGCTAAACCAGTTGAATGACCCACAAAAAGCCCAATTTCAGGTATATGGGGGGGAACGAGAGGTACAAATGGAAAATTTTGAACTAAGAGACACAAGAGTGACTGTTCAGTTTTGTACTTTTCTGTCATTTTAGAAGACATGGAGGGAAAGATTCTTACTTTCTTTGATATTAGCATTGAATTTTGTCTGCACCTCCAGAACATGCTGAGACCAAAGTGGTTTTTGTCCGTCTTACAACTCCAGTTTCCTAATTTCTTTCTTTGTATGGTTATTTGCAAATAACAGTTCMAACCCTCACCTAAGGTCATGAGGTTTGGATCATGACTGAAAGTTACAAATGGCTGAAATGATCTTCCTTCGTAGGGTGGCCAGGCTCAGTCATCTAGTGGAGCTCAAAGTAGAGTCGCTGCTTCTCTACATCAAAAGGAGTCCATTGTGGTGGTTTTGGCATCTGATAGGATGTGTCCTGGATTCCTCCCTTTAGAGAACTTCATTTAAAGGTGTTTTGTGTACGTCCCACTGGGCAGAGGCCCCAGGAAAGATCTAGGACTCGCTGGAKGGATTATGTATCCTCTCTGGCCTGAGAGCACCTCAGGTCGACAAGCTGGAAAGTGTCACTGAGAAGAAGGAAGTTTGAGTTTCTCTGTTGCCTCTGCGACACTACTTTGGATAAGCAGCAGAAGATAGAAATTGAGATTTGCAAATAAAAATAAAACCACTCTGGCATCACTCAGACCATACTGATGAAGTAATGGTTTGCTGGAGCAGAGCTTTGTAGTTCATGGACATTTAAATCAGCATCAAGTTCCCATTATAGGATATCAGATATATTGTGATATTCCTGCTGGAAGTGCTCCAGGTATAGGTCTTTGCAAATAGCTACAGAATTCTATGTAAATTATTATATAGTGCCAAAATTATGGCATTGTAAAGGTTTATAAATCAATAAACCACTACAAAATCTTTCAGATTTTAATTTGTTTTAAGATGGCAGCAATCCACCATGGTCTTGGCTTCACATGAATAAAACGTTATTCATTTACAGTGAAGTCCAGATTTTCACAGGAGTCACTGTTMTTAAGTGTACCTGCGAATTGAGAAAAAACGCAAATACAGAATACGTTTGGGTGGCATGCGGTAAGAACCATATAAAAATACTTAATAGTGAAACAGTTAGCAGCTACATGCCACACGGTACAGAACAGTAAACTGGAAATGCTGAGCTCCAGGCAAAGCTAGGGTACAGCGCATGTGTCATTTAATGTACTGTATTATTTTTTATATGAATCTAAATTTACATTATGTTCACATATGTTTAYGTATACTAAATTAGTTAATTGTATTGTTCAATAATTATTTAGCTTGAAAATGGATGAAAGAGAGAAAAAAATTCCTCTTTAGTCTACTGTTTTTACTGAATTTCTGGTTTCTTTGAAATTACGGGGATTAATGGAAAGTAAAAGTAGTTAGGTTCTATGAAAAAGTCCACAAAAGACTAATTCCACAAACTGTAAAACTTGTCTTTACAGGGCTTAAATGTAATTCTCTTTCTTCAAACTGAGGTGGAACGTGAAATGGTTCGGTGTGTTGCCATTAATTGTGAAAAACAATCCAAAAGTACAACAGGTGTTTCATTCTTCACCTTCCTGAAAAACAAGAAAGTTTGACAGATTTGGTTACTTAAGCTTCTGTGTGAAAAATGACAATTCATTGTGAGATGAACAACAGAGAAAACTAAATGAAAAAGGTGGTAAAATATAAACAAGAGTCGGCTCCTGTTCATGTATACTCTACAAACAATATCATGCTGCTAGCAACAGTCTGCTACTGCCTGATTTACTCGTTCTAATTAATGCTTGGCTAAATCAYTAAAATTCTACATTCAAAAGACAAGGATGTGTGGAAACTCTGTTCTCACCATTCCACTCTGCCACCTCAGCCTTTGGACTCATCATGAGCTCAACCGTAGCCTCGCTTTTTGCCCTACAGCTTTCTATCACAGCTGGCCATGGCACTGATGACATCATCAAACATGGACAACACAATCACCCTATCTTGGGATTTTCACACGAAACTGCCAAAAACCAGTCACTATAGTATAAAATCAATTAAATGAGCCATTGAAATGTTCTACAGAAGTGTTTATTTAAAAGAAAAACACTTTTTAATAATTTATTTTATTTAGCCCTTTAAAATGATTCTTATCAGGTCTGTGAAATCAGTCGCAATCACCCACCAAATAAAAATTGACAACTTTAAGGTCTGAAACTTCAAAATTAGGATAAATAGATGTTCACTTAAATATTCTCTTAATTAAGTGATTTCATTTTTATAATGTAATAAAATAAATAAGTTAAAATGCTAAACGGCACACAAGCGGTGGACAGCCTGCTGAAAATATGAATCTTTTTACTGTTATTTCCTACTTTGTATAAACACATAACAGCTGAGTAACCCCAATAATACACTCCCTCCCCCTCTTCAGTTTTCACAAAGTGTGTGTGCCAGCTCCAGCCTTTGGCAAACCAAGTGGAAGTCGATTACTCTTATCAGCGGCTTAGTGCTATTTAGCAGGTTAATTGGAATGTTGTAGCTGTGGCGTCTGACTTCTAAGTGCTAATTAATTGTAACCCATCTATCTCCCTCCTTCTCTGCCTCATTTTTTTTTTCTTTAGCAAATTAGATGCTTTCATTTATGACGCGGCCGTACTGAACTACATGGCTGGCAGGGACGAGGGCTGTAAGCTGGTGACCATCGGCAGCGGCTACATCTTTGCCACCACGGGGTACGGCATTGCCATCCAGAAGGAGTCGCTGTGGAAGAGACACGTGGACCTGGCCATCCTGCAGCTTTTTGGAGACGGTGAGGCGGGGAGCTGCTTAATGCACTATTTTATACATAGATGTTGCACAATTTTATGACAGCACTATCATACATGCAGATATAAATAACTGTTTAATTACTGAATGTGCATCAAATACTGTCATATGAAGCTGTGTTTTAGAAAATACTGCTGATACAGWTCTCACCGACCTCTTAAAGAACATGGAAGGTTAAGTCATGCTGCTTCTTACTGTCCACTGAAGATGACAGTGTTTATAACCCATGTGTGTGTGTTAGTAAAAAATCTATTGACCCAGTGGAAGGGTTTCAATGAAGCTCAGCTTATTACCTGTTCCTGTCAACCCATTCAAAATGGCTGCCATAACCATGTTTGTGTTGGCCTTACTTGCTCATGTATGTAAAAAAAATTATGTAATGTAAAAATGTTTTGTAGACTTAACGTCTGATRTCATTCCAAAATCGTTTCAGAAAAGCTGAATCTTTGTGAGTGAAAGTGTTTTTTTATGTTTTTCTTCTATTTGATTGTTTAGTTCAGGTGACTAAAACATGTTTTAGGTTCATTAAAGTGACGCCACAATAAAATAAAGTTTCCTTTTAAAAATTTGACTAAAGTAAATAACTGACTGAAGCAAATTTCAGGAGGTGTAGAGGTTCAAATTTACTTCTTTGGTTTTTGAAGAGCTTAAAGAGCAAAAAAGTGTATTTTTTACTCTTTAAAACAACTCTAGCCAAAAATATTTGTAGTTTAATTTAGTTTGTGAGGAGTTCTTCCTGAAATACCACTGACCACTTTCTTCTGCAGTTAGGACACAAAAATTCCTTTAACACCTCTGATTCAGATTGACCCAATCAGCCGTGTGTGTGTGTGTGTGTGTGTGTGTGTGTGTGTGTGTGTGTGTGTGTGTGTGTGTGTGTGTGTG